GATCCATTGATGCAAATACAGTCTAGATGCTCCCACAGTTTCTAATACTCCAGACTTGTCCTGATGTGCCCAGACATGTCTACCTCCTATGGTAAGCAGGGCTATTTCTCCTTGTTACTCTAGAATGTCTGGTCTCTTCTGTCCATGGAGAAGTTTGTAAAACTGCATCTTTTTATGCAAAAAAATACTCCATCCACATATGATGATTTGTTATATGCTGTGGGTATGTACAGTGCCCCACTACCACATATACCAAATCCAAAGGCTAAAAACATAACCATCTGATTACAGGAGAGACTATCTGTTCTACACCAATTCTAAGCTCTTCTGAGCCCAGCACACCCCACAATGTTGAACCTGGGCACATTGGAATTTGAGAATGTAAAAGCAACAGGAAGGTCACTGTTATTTTTTCTCCAAAGCAAGCTACAGCAGACAGTTCTCCCGTGAAGCATAGCCTAACTTCCCAGGTAAGAGATCCTCTCTTACCTGGAGAAGAGCCAATGACACAGGAGCAGAGAAGCACCTGAACAATCTGGCTTTGTTAAATCTCCCAGTGTATAACAAGATCACAGAATCTCTGTCCATCATATTTCATAGTGAGTATCCAGTCTTCCAAAACTCAACATGATAACACCTAAGCTTGCCTGCTTCTTTGGGTCTTTATTTCATTATGAAGTCTCTTGTGTCATATAAAACATATTAGATAAATGAATGCCTTTCTATTATTATTATCATTATGTCTCAATTTAGGAAGTTCTCAGCCATGAACCTTGCTATTCATAAGGAAAGATATTTTTCCTCACTAATATAATCCGGTGCAGGGAGGAGTGAGGATGAATATGGGTGTTTAGAGGCTGTGGCTAGAATGCCCATGGGCAGAGTGTTTACCTAGAATGCATAGGCCCTGGGTTCCATTCTCAGTAACGTAAACACAAAGAAAGGAGTGTTGGTAACATGTCCCCAGCCCAGGGGCAGAATATCCAACTTGGTGTGTGTCCAGTGGCCTGGAGAAGGCATATGCAGACCATAGTCAGACATATAGATGTCATCATAAAGCAAAGAGATGTCCTCAACAAGCTAAGAAAGGGAACGTGGGCTCTGGACGAGAGTGTGCAATCAGGGAACAGCCATCAGGAGGGAGGTGCTAAATGTGTCCTAGTTTGGTTTTCTATTGCTGGGCTAAACACTGTCCACTGACCTGGTGAAGAAAGGGTTTATTACAACTTACAGATTTGAGTCCATTAATGGAGAGATGCCAGAGAAGGAGCTCAAGGCAGAAATGGCAGTAGAAACCACGGAGAGATGCTGCTATCAGCTTACTCCTCATGGCTTACTCAGCCTGCTTTCTTATACCCAGGACCAGTTGACCAGGGGTGGCAGCACTCACAGTGGTGCTCTACCCATGAGCATTATAGCTACAGCCAACACCAATCACTAATCAAAAAAAGTCCTTACACACTTGCATGCAGACCATCTGGTGAAAGCAACCAATCAACTAAGGTTCCTTCTTCCCAGATGACTCTAGTTGGTGTCTAGTTGTTCAACGACTAAGCAGAATATGGTGTTTTGGCTACAGGAAGTGGTTTCTAAGGTTTTTCGTTGCACTATGTTCAAAGCCACTGAGTCAAGTCACCCCAAAAGGTTGCTTGAGGTACCCTAAGTATGAGCCAGAATTCCAGGGGCTTCTCCCAGAAACCCTTGCTGGTTCTCTGATTCCTCCATCTGTAGCCAAATGCTAGTTTGGAAAAGAAGAAAGGAAAGTGGGAGAGAGAAAAAGAAAACCTGGGGAAGTGGCCTCCTCTTTTCCAGTTTTCTGTTTAATCATTTAGCTGGCACACCTATGTCTACTCAGGTGAAATGATATGTGAACCAAAGGTCATGGTCACAGTCTGTCTCAAATATACACGAGTCCCTCTTCGTATGTTCACGGGAGGAAACATGAAGGTGTTTATAAAATTATTTTCATCCAGCCACAGTTCCCTAGCAACCAGGCAAAAGCATCTGTGTTCAGGATGATTTTAAGCACCAGCTCAAGCCTGCTCAGACCTGCCTGCAGGTACTGGAGAGAACAGAAGTGCTGGAATCAGTCTCCAGCTGGTGAGACATTGGGGTTTGTTAAGAACCTGCACCTGATATTACATAGCAGAGATCGATATCACCATGACAAGACTGTGGAGAAGGGCTCTATCTGGAATATGCAGATATTCCATAGTTCCCAGGATTCCTTAAACTATGGGGGTTGTGGCTTTTAGGGGTTTGGCGTCTTGAAAAAAAACTAGAGGTTGAGGCAGCTGACCACTTTCCAGTGCCAAACTCTGTCAGGCAAAACTGAGCTCTAACTGAATGAATAGTCTATGCAAATGGCCCTCTCTCAACCAGGCAAAGCTGACAAACGATTGTAAATGAGTTCTTTAGCTAGCCATACCTCACCAGGCATTCAATGCTTGTTTTACAGAGGAAGAAATGTACCCCCCCCAAAAAAAAACAACCCCAGAAAGTTAATTTGCATAAGGTGACACAGCTAATTGGTGACCTTTCAAGGTCTCCTGACCTCCAGCCTAGTGATCTAGATGTGGTAAGCATATTTTTAATACCTAAAATATTGCAAATATGGTATGCCTTTGGAAATTATACCACATAGGGGTAGGAGTGCTAAGAAAAAGCTGACACAAGCTTATAATTCCATCATAAGTTTGACATTCAAAGGGCCTGCTCAGAACTGTAAGGCAAGAATTGAAGTAAATGCTAAGACTTTTTGCTTTTTAGGCTTCAAAGCTAATGCTCCTGCTTTCTGCCAAGGCATTGAGCCTGCTCCTGCCAAGAAATAAATCAAGCCCACTTTCTAGTCAGGAACTGAAATAGTGCAAAATCTTATGAAGATGTGCTTTTATAAATTATTGAATTAAAAGAATTTTAACATATTCCAGCCATACTGGAGTGATAGAATGTCAGGGTAAAGTTAACTATACATACATACATACATACATACATACATACATACATACATACATACATGCGGGTGTATATTTTTTTGGTGATACCAGAGACTGAGAGCCAAGCTACTTGACTATGATCACACCAATCCGTTGTAGAGGGGATCCCACATTCCAGTCCCTGGCTGCCCTATATCAGAGCTTTTCTTCCTCTAGACCATGAGACCTCCTTTCTAACTGGCAGCAAGCATGCTCTCATGTCTCTCCTGATCAGAGCAATAGCAGTGTCTTTGGAATTAATCCATCTGTGCAGTGCTTCTTCACCTTTTCATACCCAAAGTCCTCTCTCGAACAGGCTGAAGCAGAGGCCACAACAGGAAGAACTATCCTAATCAATCACCCTGATGAAGAACTCATTCAAGAAAGTGTCAGCCTGCTTGCCCTCTCCTTATTGTTAGAGACCAACTCAAACGAACCTCTGTGATCGAGAGCTACGATTGTCTGCCAAGCTGTCTTTCCATTTATCTTCAAAGTAAGAATTTTAAAGCACATGTACAATTTAAGGAGTCTGACAACATTTTTGTTGCATTTATAGTCAGTCTTCTCCAGGGAAACAAAACCAGGAGGGTGTGTGTGTGTATGTGTGTGTATGTGTGTGTGTGTGTGTACAGGTGAAGTCTGTACTAAGACAGCTACTGAACCACCACAAGTAGGAAAAAGACAGAGACAGACTGAGAATGATTTTAAAAAAAAAATCTCTGGTTCCCATGAGTGTGAGGCGTGGTCACTCTGAATGCGATGGAGGAGATGCACAGCCTGCAGACCACAGCAAGAGTAGCAGTCAGAGTCTAAGCTGTCTGCTGGTAGACTTCCTTCTTGCTAGGAAGGGTTAATTCTTGTTCGTTCAAGGCTTTCAGCAAGTTAGGTAAGGCTCCTCAAATTATGAAGGGAACTATACTTTACTTTAACATATAGTTTAAAGTTTAATGTTTAAACATTTATTACATTTAAATGTTTCATCTCACCCAGAAAACAATTTTACAAAAACATCAGAATAGCATTTGCCCTAATATCTAATAATAGTAATTCAGCTATGATCATTCGTCAAATTAGCCATCATGAAATGCTCCAAATCTTGTTAAATTAATACAAATGATGCTGATAGGTTTGGTTTATAGTCATATTTGTTGCTGAGTTCCTTCATTTATTAGTAACAATTTGTGTGTGTGTCACTTCAGAGTGCCTTTGATCCTATAACCTTGTCTTCTATTTCCAGTTCAAAGTAAAGGTAGACACTGCATGAGGACACATTTGCTACTATTGTGACTGTCAAATGACCTCCCAGCTATGGGAAGTCACAAAGAGTTCCATCATGAGCTGTTTCTCTGTTGTGAACTCACTGGGAGTCACCGAGTTGACCACACACAGGACACTTTCAGTGTGTTCAGATCACAAGTCAGTGTGTTAGGGTGGTTCTGCCCAGAAAGTCTTGTCAGCTGCTCCAGAAATCATCTCTGTTTTGCAAGGTAGAGTACTGTGAAGATGCACACACACTGAGTGTGAGGGAAAACTTGAAAGGGCGAGTGAGACAGCTCAGAGGGTAAAAATACTAAAACTCAGACCTCAGGACCTGTGCTCCATCGCTGGATCCCACATGGTATCAGGAGAGAACCAACTCCTGACACTTGTCCTCCGACAGCCACAGGTGTGCCATAGTTCATGAACACCTGCACTCATATGCACACACAAAAATGAGTTAATTAATAACCTTATTTTTTAATTAAAAATCGAAAGGAATAATCTCTCAGATGGGCACAAGGTTCAGGGCTAACCTCCAGGTCACTTTCTGCTTGAAACTTGCTGGGTAAGAAGCCTGAATTCTGGATGGTCTTGGATCCCTTCCACAGCCACAAACTCCATGACTGGTATTTGTAGCAACAGCATCTCTAATTCATATCCCCTCTGATTTGCTGCTGTAGTTTCTAGGCTTGCAGAAATTGCTCCTTCCAAAGGCTATCGCTGGATATCAAGCTGCAGATACCTGCTCAGTCACAGCCTTCTGTCATGGAAAGGAGGCTTGTGAAGCAGGAGGTGGAAAGGCTGCTGTGAGTATTGCCGAGAATAACTTTCGTTTCTGACCCTTGCATTTCTGATGCTCTCACGGATGGTCTGTGTATTGGCAGGTGGACAGAAAGCTAAGGAGAGATCTCTCTGTTCTGTTTCTGCGGGAGAAAGCTAGCAGATGCTTTAGTCTCTGTCTCCTGCCATGCAGGCACATGTGGTACAGGGCAGGATGCAGAATCTCTTGGGAAAATGTTCCTGCAGGAGCATGCATGTGCAAGGCACCCCTTACAGCCTGGGGGACAGGATGAACCACCTAAATGGCCAGCACTTACTGGCAAAAGATATAGATCCCTAAATGTGCCTTAGGGCCCAGCATCTGATGCTTCTATTGCCAAGCTTAGCAACCACATGATCCATCTCCATTGTTTTTGTTTTGTTTTGTTTACTTCTTGAACTTTCTTGACAAATAAAGAAAAGATCTGGTTTCCCATAAATTTTCCCCATCCCATGCAATTTTTCTTCAACTGGGTACTTTCCAAATGGTGATGAAAAAAATCACAGGTCATATAACAAGAGGAAACCATATTTCATTTTGTATACATTGTTGGCACAACATGAATATGTTTTTCATCAAAGATCTTATCGTGGATACCATCAAATGTCCTTTGCCTATGAAAGTGAATGTCTTTACTAAATCTTTAAGAAATTCTCGAATAGACATGTATAAAATTCATTCATGTTTACACATATGTGTTTGGACACTAAGACAGGAACAATAACAAAAACAAACAGTAGTTTAAAAGACAACAACAAAAAACCGTAAGAATGCCAACTCTGACAAGTATAGCTGTGATGCCTTTAATCCCAGTACTTGGGAGGCAAAGGCATGTGTATCTCTATGAAGTGAGGCTGACCTGGTCTACAGGATTCTGGGATAACCCTGACTCATAGAGATTCTATCTCAAAAGAACAAATAAATGGAAAATAAATAAATAAATAAATAAATAAAATAAATTCTTGCTGCACATGCTGACTCCTGGCAGAACGCCTAATGCTAGTGTGTTCTGTGGGAAATTTTAAAAAAACTGTATGTTCTTATGTCATGGCCTCTTCTTAGAGTACAAATACCCATAATAGGTGTGTCTGCTTCTATCTCCTGAGTGTTTGGATTAAAGGTGTACACCACTATGCCTGGCAGGAAATCTTTATTTTATACAATGGATCTTAGCCCTCTTCTTGAAAAAATCTTTTCTGTACATTGGCATTTTGAAATCCTTCCTCTTTTTTTTCCTGTACATTATTCTAACTCTGTGTGTAATTTTAAGATAAACGTGATTTATGTTCATTGTGATAAGATATTTTAAACCTGAAGCCTTTGGAGATCACTATGCAAGCCACTTTTGAGTATTAATAGCTATTAGACCATGACTGACTTCTGTTGCATTTTTGTCTTGGGGGGGGGGAGTTCAGGGGGCATCAGGAAGAAAGCCTCTTTCTGAGGACGGAACCCTACATCGTTCCCAATAGTTCAATGCTGCTCTCTTGCTTTTAAGGGGAGAGTATATTGGAATCAGACTTCGGGAAAATGAATTTGATCCTAAAGGAAGAGGCCAACTCACCTTTCTAGATGATATGGTAAAGCAAGTCATGGTTCAAATCCCATTGCATTCTGTATGTGATACGGGGACAGGACAGGTATCAAATGCATACGTAACTAACACACTCGCACACATGCACACATCCTGCCTCAGCCTGAGGTTGTCTCTATGAGCATCATCTTTACCCACAAGATATTAAAACAAATGACTGCAAGATAAAATGTTAATTTACAATGTTAAGACCTTGACAAAATTAGCAATATTGTAGTTCTCAGCTCTAAGCACTTACCACCACTGGCATTACTGGAGAAGGCAAAGCGATACACTATCTGAGAATCCATTGTGTTATTCATACTGAGCCCCGACTCATGTGACGTTCTGCTAGCTCGCTACACAAAAATTAGAGAAGAAACCTCAAAAAGGTTTAATCCAAAAGAAATCAGTGGACTCAGTTTACACCCTGCCCATGTGCTATCCTGGTGCTAAGAAGGATGTGTCTCTTCTCAGTTTCCCTCCGAGTAAAGCCAAGTTTGTAGCTAAGCCGGCCTTTCTGCGTGCACACATCAAACAGATCAGAACTGTACTTCTCAAATTTTAATGAAGTATTGTTACAGCACCATTTTTATTCTGGAGGTCAAGGTTGGGTTTGTGTTTCTAATGAGCATGACCAGTGTGACTAACCCAGGCATCAAACTCCAGATGAGGTTTCAACAGAATGACCAGGGCTCAAAACCTTTATTTATTATTTAAGTTGACATTTTACTTTAGTTCAGTCCCCGAAGAGTGTCATTACATGATTGAGGAAGTCTTAGAACCTTAAACAAACCTTTGCTTCCTTGGATATGGGGCTGGAAAGAAAACGTTGCTAGTAAGTGGTAAACATGCTTACTAAGTAAATAACTTACAAACGACCAGAGAAAAGGCCATCGCTGCAATAAAAATCAACATGCAAACTGACTCTTAGTTTTGTACCAGGAGTGCATTGCTCCTGCTATGTCCTCTAACAGTAAACAGGATTATAAATTGTTCTCTGTAGCTTTCTTTCCCTATCTTCTCCCTTTGCCTTTTTGAAACTTAAGGAGACAAAGACCCAGTGCTTGTCAGCAACTCACCCAAGAACATACTGGAAATCCTAGGGGGAGGCAACATCCCCCAATTCCCTGTTGAGTGTTTTTTTCTATTCTGGACTACACACAGCAAGATTCTGAAACATATCTAGGTGAACACCAGGCTATAAGTAGAGATTTACACACACACAATTCAAACTTGACAGAGGAGAGGACAGGCTTAGCAATTCAGGGAGTTGCTTTGCTAAGGTCTCAACCGACCACTCTGCTTTCTACTTCCTGATTCCAGGCCCACTATGACTTGGCCATCAGAGTTGCTAGTCAATGGCTAGATAGCTCAGAAAACTCAGCTTGGCTCCAGTGGGACAAAGTGTAAGTTGAAATGTGTTTGTTGCTTTTCTGTTTGCTCTATTTATTTATTTAGTGTGGATGGGAAAATATGTATGTACATGTGTATCGGTGTGAGTGTATGCGGAGGTCAGAGGTCAATGTCTTCCTTTGTCACGCTTCATCTTATTTTTGAGATAAAGTTTCTCTCCAACTGAATCTTGAGTTCACCACTAGCAAGCCTAGCTGTTTAGCAAGGTCCAGGGAGCCTCCCATCTCCGACTCTATCTCCCTGGCACTAGGATTGCAGGCTGTGCCACCATGCCCAGATTTTTATATGGGTGATGGGGAGAGGATCCACACTCAAGTCCTCATGCTTACACAAGGAAAGCACTTTTCCTCCTGAGCCATCTCCTCTGCCCTTGTGGCTTTTCCTTTTAAAACGTGACTCTAATTGCCGGAGCCAAGTTCCAGCCCTGTCTGGCATCTGCCTGTGAGGCACTCTGACGTAGGAACACAGAGCAAACTTCCTCCTTCAGCCAGAAGCCTGAAGACACACTACAGCTGCAGCTTGAGGACATCATAGGTATGTTTAGAACATTTTGTACTTGTTATCATTGGATTCTGTCAAGTTTTTTAAAATGTCCTTCATGGGATGCCTCACCTGAGAAGCAGGACTTCACTATACTGCTTACAAGCTCCATGCTGGTCAGTTCTATAGGTAAAGATTGAAATTGCTTCCTACAGACTATTTCACAGTTTCTGGAGCATGTCAGCACTTGAGTCTGTGGGATCATTTCCTTCCCAAGATTATCAGCTTTTTCCTTCAAGTGTAGTGACTCAGCAGATTCAGTCAACCGCTCAGGACAGGGAACTGAGAGGCAGGATCAAATAGCTCAGTCCAAAGGCCAGATATTGTTTCTATTCCTCACTCCTGGCACAAGCTCCAGGAGAGGAACTGACAGTAATAAGCAGAAAATCCAGTTTGAACAACCTTAAGGAAGGAACAAGTGCAAGGGGTGGGGTGGGGGCGAGAGAGCAGGGAGAGAGGAGGTGGAGGAGGTAGGCTTGCTTGCCTCTACATCTGAAAAGTTTGTGACTTGGACTTTTGGGCACAGGAATTCAAAATTCAGGCTGGCGAGGTGTCTCAGTGGGGAAACAACTTGCGAACATGTTTGACTATCTGAGTTCAATACCTTGGACTCACATGGCGGGAGGAGAAAATGAGCTCCCTCAGATTGTCTTCTAACCTTCACAGGAGCTCCACAGTGAGGCAAGCACTAGCCCCACTCCCTGACAACCCCCACCCCCATATACATAAGCACAACAAGTAAACGTATATATACATACATATATATTTAACCTCACTAGCTGCTACCAGGTTCTACCTCCAGTATCTTTCTTCTGGGTGGACATTACTAGTGTCTGTTTACTTCATAACAAGGTTCACTCCAAATGGATTTAAACAAACAACAAGCAAACATGACATGTCTCAGTGTCTCTGTTTTCTGATTTGTCTGGCCATGGAACACTCCGACAAGACTCATTCTCAGAATCTAGAGTATTTTCAACCTCCCTACAGGTGTGCAAGGTTACAGTAAAGTAAAACAGGTCCCCCTAAGCAGATGATGAGGAGAAGCAGGTGGATACCCGCTAGCAAAGCCGTAACCACTTACTATAGGAGCCGTTGACATTTATAACAACTTTAGTGAGAACTAGCACAGAAGAAAAATACATCGCTTGGTTGGAAAATTAAAAATTCAAAGTACCACTGGTTGGTGGTGGCGCGCTCCTTTAATCCCAGCACTCAGAGGCAGAGACAGGTAGATCTCTGAGTTTGAGGCCAATTTGGTCTACAGAGTAAGTTCCAGGATAGCCAGGGCTACACAAAGAGATCCCATCTCAAAAAAATAAAACAAAATTCAAAGTATATATTTCATCATCAGAAAATCAATCATATTAATCCTATTTAAAAAGCGGGTAACACACAGCCATTGCTGATTACTTATGGATTAGTGTCACGCCTTAGCTTGTGTCAAAGGGAACAAGAAAAGGAGCTGGAAAAATAGAGGATCAGTGAGCAGTTACTGTATAAGCAAGGGGACCTGAATTTGATCCTCAACACCAACATTAAATATTGGGTGAAGTGGCACAAATTTATAATCATGGCACTGAAGAGGCAAAGCCAGCCTAACCTACTTGGTGAATCCCAGGTCCCAGTGAGAGTCCCTTACTCAAAAATTCCAAGGTGGGAGGCTCCAGAGGATGACGACATCTGAGGTTGACCTCTGTTCTCCATACGCGTGTGCACATGTGCACGCACACACTCACACACACCACCCCAGCATACACCACCCCCGACTCTTCTCCCTTAGGAGAGCACCACTTCATGTCAGACCTGTGTATCCAAACCGAAAAGAGCGAGAAGCAATGATCTTATCATCTTACGCTGGAGTCTTAATGGTAAGAGAAAGAGCACTGTGTATGTGCACACTTTGTGTCTTCTAAGATCGTCTGCTTCTAGTGCATATTTACATGTTTTTAATATTGCTTCTAAATGCCTTGGATTTACTAACAGTAAAATTTAGTATTTAAAATGTATAATGAGAAATTTGACTTCCATGTCATATAGCAAAAATATTTATGGAAGATGAGAGAGGGATAAAGGGATGAGAGACAGTAGTGTCTAGAAAACTTGCTTACCCATTAATTTGGAAATTATCATGTAGTTGCTGTGCTACATCTCCCCACACTCGATCCACTAGCGCTGCAGGAACTTTGTCTTATAATAAAGAAAAGGCACAGTAGAGCAACACATTGCTTTTATTTCACAGAACAGTATCCCAATTGAAGAAGTCCTTAGAATTTACGGGGCCGATTCTTCTGCCAGTCCTGATTCTACCAAGGTAAGTGTGATATAGGACTGTTAATACCAGAGATGTATATGGGCCTGTATATGGTATATGCTAAGCAAGTGCTCTACCACTGACATATATTCTAAGCCACAAACACAGATATGTACACATATCTCTTTATGTGCATGTATCTGTGTGTGTGTATGTGAGAGTGTGTGTGTGTGCGCGCACACGTTTTGCTGGGGACTCTACTCAGAGTTTTGCACATGCTAAGCATCCACTCTACCACTGAACTACAATTTGCAGCCCCTGGATGAGATTGTTTAGCATATACATTTATAATGATATTTTTCAGGCATCAGATAAATAATAATTTTATGTCAAAAAGCCAAAGCTGAGATATTGAGATTGCTCAGCAAGCAAAGGCCCCTGCAGTTAATCCTGACTCCCAGATTCAATTCTCCTAATCTACATAATGGAAGGAGAAAACACACTCCTGGAAGCTGCTCTCTGACCTCCACATGAATACTTGTGCACACACAACTGCCCATCCCACTCCTGAATAAATAATTGTACTTTTAATAAAGGTAAAAACCGGAAGCAACCACATCCTAATTGAGTCACACATGCTTATAAAGTACCCCCTTTTAAGTAGAGTAGTTTTATGGCAGGCTGAGTCTGGCAGCAGAGAGCATGGGCTCAGAGTCCAGATCCCATTGCTTCTGCTCACCGTATTTTCTCACTCCGGCTTTTGGTAACGTGGACTAACAAGCCACACTCCACCACTGGATTGATGTAGTCTTCCATGCAGAATGAAGACCAGATCCATAAGGCTTATGACACACACCTGTAATCCCAGCTCTTAGGCAAGGGAAACAGGAGCATCAGGAGTTCAAGGTCATTCTTGGCAACATAGGGAATCCAGGCTAGCCTGGGCTACATGAGGGCTAGTATTTGAGAAAATAAAGTATTCTGAATGATCTTCAAGCCAATTCCATTTTCACTGTTTTTGAGTGTGTGAACATTCAGTAAGAATTTAAATACTGGGTATGATCCCCTTACCACTGAAAATTTCTATGGGCCAGGTGGGTGGCAGGGGTAGGGGTGGGGTGGGGTGGGACAGGGGTAAAGGAAGCTGAACCAGCATGCTCACCCCTGACCTTCTTCTCACTGTCCCTTGCAATATCTCTCATCTCGATTAAAAGGTAGTCAAGTGCAGGGCCAGGGCCATGAACACAACCACAGGACAAGCGCCCACCCTGTTTCTTTTACCTGTAGACAACAGTATACAAGCAACGGGTCACCACCATAAGGCAGTTTGGAAAGATTCAGAAAGAGGCCAGGACAGAGTCAAGGCCATAGACACAGGACAATTATTTAGCTCCTATTCTTATACCCACAGGCCACAGTGTTTAAGTAATGGCTCACAACCACAAAACAGTTTTAAAGGATTCAAAAGGAAATCAGTGCCATAGATGCAGGACAATTATTTATCTCCTGTTCTTGTGCCTGCAGACTAGGACTGTATGAGCAATGGGTCAGCAATGGGTCAAAGTTCAAGTGCCTACTTCATCCACCCCCATAGTCAAGTGTTTACTAAGTCTTATGGTTTTGAAACCAACGTCTTAGCACCTTACTCTGGCTGAGATCCACATCCCCTCAAGTCCTGAAGGAGCTACAGATTTCTCCTGACCACTGCATGGCTTACGGCTCATTCCTTTGCTCTTTCACAACATGTAATTGAATGTCACAGATTCCACAGTGAGCAAGCTGGGCAAGGTGCCTTGTCTTATATAGATCTCATATTCTGTATCAAGGCTTATCTTGACTGGGGCACTTAAGAGACTAAACCATTTTTTGTTTTTTTGTTTTTTGAAATGTAAGTGAATACCACATGACCTGATTTGATTTCTATGATTTATTTATTTTTTATTTTATGTGCATTGGTGTTTCGACTGCATGTATGTCGGCACTGATGGATAGATGGAAGGGGATGTCTCAGCAGGCCCATGCCGAGGCATCTTCACACACCCGTATAGCATAGAATAGAGTTTATTCAGGGCATGGGGAGGGGAGCCAGGAGGGTAGTAGAGGCAGAGAGAGAGAGAGAAAGAGAGAGAGAGAGAGAGAGAGAGAGAGAGAGAGAGAGAGGAGTGGAGGGGGAAGTAGAGGCTGGCTATGACCACATGGAGAGAGGGGGAATGGAAGGGGAAGGGGCAAGGGGCAGAGAGGAGCTGCCGGCAAGGGATCAAGGGATCGAGAGAGTGGGGGGGGGGGAGGCAGCCCCTTTTATAGTGGGCAGGCCTACCTGGCTGTTGGCCAGGTAACTGTGGGGAGGAGCATACCTGGCTGTTGCCAGATAACTGTGGAGGTGGAGTTTAGACAGAATACTAACAGGCATGAGAGTGCCAGATTCCCTGGAACTAGAGTTATAGACAGTTGTGAGCTGCCATGTGGGTCCTGGGAATTGACCATGTCTCCTGGAAAAGCAGCCAGTGCTCTTAACCGCTGAGCCATCTCTCCAGGCCCCCAAGCAGTTTTTTTTGTTTAAGTTGAAGAAAGGCCTGCTTTTGTGGTGTTCTGGCTCCACACACCACCCTGCTCAGTTTCTGCGTGTTCACTGCTGCTTTCTCTCTGCTTGCTATCTACTCTCCTTCACTAAATATGCCCCCAAACCTGAGCCCTGCTCGCAGTTTTCACTTAGATTTTCTCTTCTAGCTTTGGGGTGGTGTCAGTCACACTTGTTGGGTGATTGAATCTCTGTTCCAAGGCTTCATTCTGAAAGAGATTCAGAATGTGACTTCCTGGTTTGGTGGGGTCATCATTCAGGATTTGCAAATGTGGATATCTGAGCAGCTGGGCTAAGTGCAGCCTTCATAATGGAGCTAAATCAGGAAGCCACGCTGCTTATGTGTTTGTCCTCTGGATCACTCATTCAGTCAGGAAAGAGTCTCTGCTCAGTGGTTTGTAGCCGTGATCTTCAGAATCCTTCCAACAGTGGGACAGTTAAAAACTGCCTCATTACTGCCAAATGTGTCCTAGGGACAAAATCACATCTGATAGAGACTTAAGTATCTAAACATTAAATAGGTAATCAAATATGTATATTAGTAGCAATGCAAACGTGGCTTATCTGGGTTAACTAAGTCCCCAAATGATTTGGTTTGAGGAAGCAATTCTAGCAGCCTCTCCCTCCCACCAGAGCTCCAACTCACCCCATGCAGAGTAGCAGGCTAACTCCACCCACAAGCTTTCTCTTCTACTTAGAAGAGGAACCAGCAGGATCTCTCAGTGGCAGTGTAGCATTTCAAACTTTAAACTATAGGACTATTTTAAACCAGCCTTTTGGGGTTTAACATCACTTCAAAAATAATGGTTTTAATTATAAGTCGTTTAAAGACAATAGATGTTGTCAAAGGTCTTTAATTATCACTTATATCGGAATGCCCTTTAATTCCTTCAGATAAAATGCCTCCTAAACAACAACTGAAAGCGTTTCTAAGCCAGAGTTTAAAACCAAGTGAAGTACAAATCAGATTAGGATGAATTTCTGGCAACTGGAAAGGACTTGGAACTGTGCTCAGCCTGGTGGCTTTCTCTAGAACTCTCTTCTGCCCCCTGGTGGTAAGAGAGCAGCAAGGCATGTACTGTTCGCTCTCAGCCACAGGTTCCTGCTAAATGGCCATTTTTTATTAATAAGGAAAATTCAATTTTCAGTTTGATTTGTTTTCTTTTCCTGTTGAAGACCCTGGACCCAGAAAAAGTTCAGTTAAAGGCTTTACATAAGTAATGGCTATTTACAACTGTGTCCAGATGATAAATACAAAATGTCCAACTTGACTTAAACTGAAGAAAAATCACAAATATTCCTTAAGCTTATAAAGCTATTGATAAAAACATCCTCTGCCTCATTTGATGGAAGAAAGGTGGTCAAAGGAAAAAGGCAGAGAAAATAAAAGTGGGTATAAGGAGATAAGGGTGCTGGACAGAGAACCCTGAGACATCAGCTCTCCTCTGTCTTCCCAAAGGTCATCTCATTTTAAGAGCCAGCTTTGAGCCTGTCATCATGGTGGTGAATGCCTGTAGTCCCAGCACTCAGGAGGCAGAGGCAAGTGGATCTCTGTGAGTTCCAGGCCAGCCTGGTCTACAAAGGGAATCCAGGACAGCAAAGGCTCTGTTGCACAGAGGAAAACATATCTCAAAAATCAGAAGAAAAAGGAGCCAGCATTCATATCCATCCTAACTAACACCCAAATATCATGATTCTAGAGGCAAAGCAGACAGGGCCCAGACCCAGATCCACCCCTTCCAAGTTGGATGTCCCCTGTTGCAGTCCAAGAGTCTCTTCCCAAACCACACACACACTGATCTCAATCAGACAGGGATAGTTTATTGAGCATATGTCCCAGAACTGATTGATCAGGGCCACAAATCCAGACTCAGGAGCTGGTTGAGACACTGAGGTAAGTTCTTACAGAGATTTTAAGCCTAAAATCCACAAACATCCGTGTAAAGTTATTCCACCAATCAGGATTTAGGAATAGGGGATTTCATTCCTTAGGAACGTGTCTTAGTTGTTCACTTATCCTGCTCCCATTGGTTGGGGTGTTCAGCTGTGGCGGGAGACTTGTCATCTAATATTCATGTCTTAACTTGCCAACCAGGATGTCAGTTACCCATGTACACGCCTCTTTCTGCCAAGTAGGATGTCAGTTCCCAGGGAGGTCTTGGGAACTTAAACTTTACTCGACCCCTACTCAAAATGGAAGTCTTATTCCAGTAGTTTCTTATATTGGTGCAGGTGTCTCTCTTATGTTAGGGTCCATCCCAGGGGCAGTTTGTAAAAGTAAACATCATAAAAGCTTATATCAGGAGCAGGAAGTGCTACTGAGTGGTTGGTTTGGATCCAGACTTATTGTGGGTATTATGAAATATAAGGCAAGAATGCTTGGTAGGCCTGTGTCGTGGTTTATTTGGGGGAAGGAAGGGGAGTGAGAACCTGGAGAGGGGGTAAAGGCAGGCAAAGCCAAGAGGGCAGAGAAGTGGGGGGGGGGACAGAGGAGGACAGAAAGAGAGGCCGGATGGGAACACATAGGAACAGAAAGAAATAGAAAGAGAGAGGGAGAGGGAGAGAGAGAGAACTGGGCTAGCAAGCAGTCCTCTTATATGCCACCCAATGTGACACCCATACCTGGTGGCAGGTAATAATAATAATAAAAAAGAGGCTACCAATTAGAAACAGAAGGACATGGGAGGAGTCGGAGGGATAAGAGAGATGGGGGAAGTGAGATAATTATAAATTTTAATTTATTTTTTAATAAAGATATTATTAATAAAGTTAAGGGTATGTTAAAAAACATTCCAGTTGCATAAGCATCAGCTCCCAGCCTGTAGCGGAGCAGGTGAGAGCCTGTTAGGGCACGTTTCTCACTCGGACAAGGGAATACGTGAGCTCCACAGCAAAGGAAAGGCAGGAGCCTAGGGCAGAAAAGAGGAAGTGGCTGTGCTAGGAGAGGGCTGTGAGGAATGCCCTGTGCAAAGCGGACTTCTGTGTCATGAGACCCGAGCACAGAGCAGAGGCTGTACACGAAGAGCACATTTACCAGCCTTTTAGGTACCCCATCGACACAGTTCACCAGGGCTAGGATTGGTGAGATGAGATGCGCCAGGTACTGTAGGCAGCAGGTACTCCCCACACAAAATTCACACCGCTGTAAACCGGAACTATCCTCTTTCTTTCAGGTCTCCCAGGCCCTGTTGCCCCGCCGCTCCTTGCACCCTTTCGCCATGTTGACCGCACCCAGAGCAGCAGAGTGCAACCAGAGGCAGAGTAAGCCTGCTCTCTTCTGGATGTAGAGAGAGTTAACTAGGCGGTGGGCCCACTCAGTCAGCTTAAATGATAACACTAGTTAGATTTCTGTCTGGTGAGATCTTAAAAAAAAAAAAATAGCATCCTTCATAACCTGGTGTACGCCTCTTCTACATTTCCCTAACCAGAAAGGCTTAGACTTTTTGGCGAGAGGGTTGGGAGTTGGGGGCAGTGCAGCCCAGAAAGACAAGATCTAATACTGTGGTGGACCCATTTTTTTTTTAAGTTTTGTACTCAGGTGTGATACTGCCTATGTCTGCAGGTGTCAAGTTGAGAAGAGTAGCAATGAATAAAAAAGCCACCAGCAGCTCTACAAAGAAAGCAACGGCACAGCATGGAGATCCTGCCGCAAAAGGCACTCATACACACACCCCAAGAACAAAGGAAGACTAAACACGAACGGCATCGCTATAGCGTGTTGAAAGTTGAGTATTTGGAGTTCAAGGCTCTGAGAGTGAATATGAAGCCCATCGCTTATCCGCTGTGGGATTTTTTTAACAAGCTGCTTAACCACTCTGTGCCTTAGGTTCCTCCTCCCAAAAAATGAGAAGAATAATGGTACCCACCTCTTAAGGTCATGGATTAATCAGGATTATGGAGTGAGTGGTGAGAATGGTACCTGGCATGGTGAAGCCCAAATAGACATCAGCCACGACTAGCTTTGAACACTTGAAAATTACTTGTAAGAAGGAGATCTGCTGTATTTCCGTTTATTCAATCAAATAGGGTGGTTTGTTTTAGTATGTGCACCTAATAAGTTCCAGATGAGAATTTTACACAAAGGAGAATTTTATCTTTCTGTTTCATAGCATCTCCCCAACTCCTGTCCTTTCTTCTGCCTGGTCCACCCACTCCTCAACTGTTATGTGGAAGAATTTAGACTCAGCTCTTGGACAGATGGGGCTGGAGGGAAAGTAGAAGGATTGTGTGGCCTTTACCGTCCTCCTCGTATTTACTACAGCTCTGAGTTCTCAAGACATGTACAAGGTGAAAATAAACAGAAGTCAGAGAGACTAGGTCGGTTGACTTAACAGCAGCTGAGTTTGGAGACCTCCAGAGGGGAAGCTGGGAGTCTGGGGAGGTTTAGGGATCTGAGATCCAGAGAATGGAAGACTCCAGATGAGCTGGAGGGTCAAGGGGTAGGAAAGAGAAGAGTTTGGAACTGAGTGACAAGTCTGTGTTTGTAGTTGGAACCTAAAATGAAATTTCCACTCACTCGCTTGCTGTGCCATGCGCATTTTGAATGTGCATCGCTAAATCAGCTGAACCATATGGTGCTTAAGATTCGTTTAGTCTTCAGAAATAGGCAGATTGATTGATTAGAAATGTAACCAACACCACACACACGCATACACACATGTATATACACACTATACATACACACATATATATGTATACTACATGCATACACAGACACACATACATACACACACATGCATACACACATGCATACATACCCACATGCACATACATCTATATGCACACACATACACACACATACATATATATACACACGTGCATACACACATACACAGACTCACATACACATACATACATACTGTATATACACACACTTTTAAAAATAGAAAAGAAATACAACCTCCTCACTGGGGCTGCTTTAGGGACTTCCTGGATTGTTTGGTTGTATCAAACCTTAACATCGTTCTAAAGATGGAAAGCTGAGAAAGCAGCCACCTCTTGGGTTTTCTTTTGAAGACACTTGCTGTAATGAGATTCCAGGCCATGGACTTTCTCAAGCTACATCATTGCTTCTGAAGAACTGTATAAATTACAGCTTTCAAAAGAACTTGAAGACAGCAGGCTTTGGAAAGCAAAATAAAACAACAACCGAAAAACAGTAAGACTCCTAGACAGAGGTCACATGAACACCTGTGAGTGTGCACACACCACACACAGGCACACACACACCCTGATGATCTGGACAAAATGTAATTGTACAAAGACCAATCTCAAGAACTGGTTCATAGACCCACTGAGGCTCATGCATAACCCTATGTAATAAGAACGTATTTCTAAATATTTGAGTTTTAGACATCATTTGGGTGTTATGTTTTTTTAAATATAATTTCATCTTGTATATTTTCTTTCACAATTACCAGTGGCTGTTGGCTTCCTGATAACAGCAGAACTTTCACTTCCTGCTTATCGCTTGAGTGCGTGCATGTGCGTGCGTGCATGCGTGCGTGCGTGTGTGTGTGCGTGTGTGCAGGCCGTGGGGAGTGGAACTCCTGTGGGTAATCGAATGATAGCGAATGGCTCTGGGGTGTTAGTTTGACCAGCAGACCTCTTTCTAAGCACAACCCAATTCTCCTAGATTCAAGCCCGTTTTCAAATAAACCCCTTCCAACAAGACGTCTTCCTGAAAACAGAAAATCCACTGGAGCCTTCTTTTTTGTGCATATTATTTGTATAATTTAGGCATTTTTGTAATTCCTGGGTATTTTTTAAAACCACTTCATAAAATATAATAATAGCACATCAAAATTACAGTGAAAAAAATAAAAGAATTCTCTTTTCCTTACACTTCTTCTCTTTCATTTATAATTAGCAGCTGTTAACACTCCTTATGATATGTCAATATTTGTTATACATATACATAGGTGTATGTACCACTGGTTTATTATAATTGAATAAAGTAAATATTTTATTAAATGTATATAAAGTATGCCTTTTGTTGTTTTGTTGTTTTCTTTTTGAGACAGAATTTCTCTGTGTAGCCCTGGCTGTCCTGAAACTCACTCTGTAGACCAGGCTGGCCTCAAACTTAGACACCCACCTGCCTCTGCCTCCTGAGTGCTGGGATCAAAAACATGCACCACCACTGCCTGGCTGAAAGTATGCTTTTATGGTTTTTCGTTTGAGGAAATTGCTTATCTTATATATTTGGAATTATTCATTTTCCCTTTACTTTTTAAACCCCTATGTAGCAAATCTTTCTTCATAATTTTCTTTTTATTTCCAGACACCAAGTTTCATCACAAACAAAGAGAAAGGCAAGACCTTTTTAACACTCCCAGCTTTTCTGGGAAACATTTAAGTGTTGTTTTTGGTTGGTTGATTGGTTTAGTTATTGTTTTTGTGCCAGTATTTGAATTGAAATGGATATGAGCAATATTCTCTGGGAAAGCTCATCTTCCCATGCTTTAATTTCTTTTCTATAAAAGAAAATGTGTTATGTACCTTACGGGGTTATTTCAGGAATGAAATGAGTTAATGTACATATAAAGGCTCAGAGAATCACCAAGGCTACAGCATGTAGAAAGATACCTGTCAACTCTCTTCCCACTCCTGGAGAAACCACAGCACCCTAGAAGGAAGCCAGATAGGGGGAGGAGTATCTGAACTTAAATTCAAAGCAATAGATGGAACATCTAAAATAATAAGCTACCAGCACAGAGCTGAAAAAGGATTTTTGTTGGGTAGCGCTAGTCCAAAGGAGTTGACTTTTATAAATTTTTAAAAATTTAATTTGAAGATAATTGAAAGCTTAGAGAAATGTTGCCATAGAGCAAAGGACACAGATTCACATCTGTGTCGCTCTTTGTCCTACCAGCTTAATGTCTTTCTCTTTCTCTATTCTCCCTGTTGTCTTTCTGTGCTTATAACCTTTTCTGAGCTATTAAAACTTGCACATACCCTATCAACGCACCCTGTATATTTTACTTTGTGCCTCCAAAAAGCAAGGTCATCCTCTTAAGTAACCAATTATTAACGTCTGAATCTAAAGCATTGCTACTTTTATCTAATCTATCACCCAAACAGCATTTTTTTCACTTGCCTGGATAATGTCCCCTTTAAGGACCCAACATAAGATCACATACTGCCTTCAGTTGAGAAATACAATTCATTTTCAGATATTTCAGAACCGTTCCATGGAAATTCTTCATATCTACATCTATCTAATCCCTCTCTGTTGGTATCTGATATTTCACCTTAACTCCAATAGTGTATGTGTCTGTGTTATACAGATGTGCTGGTACCAAAACCATTCTTTCATTCTGCAGGTCACTTAGAAATGTGGACTAGCACCATGGATGTGTAAGAGCTTCTAGGAGCAGCCAGGATGCATTGTCTTAAAGCTACAGCTGTCACCAGCATGTTCTTTCTCTTCAGTCAACTCTTGATGCAAACTGCAATGACTCTCATGTCTGCCACTGAGCTTTCTTCTTTTGGAAGCGTATTGTACACCTGTATTTTGACAAAAGGAAGAAGTGTGTCTATCCTATGCTGTTTCATTCTATGCCCAGAAGACTGCTGGGACATCCAGAGGGGGTTCACTGTTTCTGGGTGGGATTAGACAATCTGGCTTTGATACACATTTTAGCAAATGTGTATCATTAAATATAGCATAGAATTCCGGAGAAGGAGATGGTTTTCCACAAAGTTTTAACCCCAAATAAAATCAATTTCTCATTAGTATACTTTCAAATAGAGAAAATGTATTTATTCCATTTCAATAAAGTTTGAAAAGAGAAATGGATGCTGGCTCTTTCTGGGTAGGACATGATGACCAGTGGGGAAAGAGAACATGCTGCTCTTTTCCGGCCTCTCCCAAGTGCCAACAAGACACATGGCTTAACTATAGCAAAACAACTTCATCGGATGAATGTCAGAACACATCATATCATCTCCCCGTTCTTAACGACTGGGCCAGCCATCTTTCTGCCCAATGGTCTTAATACCACATGCAAACTCAGGGGAGTTTGTTGACCACTTCTGAAAACAGTGATTTTGTGGCTGATGAGGTCAGTGTGGGCCTTTCCACACGGGGCTTAGTCACAGCTGTACTTGAAGTTGACCAGGACACTTGGAACACTAGGATGGAGGCAGAGGACAACAACAGTGGCCTGTAGACCTCAACAATGCTCTAGCCACTGAGGACTTGAGAAGACATTTCTTGCTGTCTGTCCACGCCCTGTAAGTGATGCCTGAGGATTTTCATGCAGCTATTGTGCCTGCATTGCTAGCTCTAGTTGAGTGTCATCATGGGCATGGCTTCATTATCTAAAATACACACGGGATAGGATGACAGCAGATAATCCCAGGCTGGACCATCCTCCATGCCTGCAATACAGAAGCACTCAAGTCAGTTGGCAGCAAAGAAGAAAGGGTTTTTGTTTTGTTTTGTTTGTTTGTTTGTTTGTTTTGTTTTGTTTTGTTTTGTGGGAGGGTTTCGAGACAGGGTTTCTCTGTGTAGCCCTGGCTGTCCTGGAACTCTCTCTGTAGACCAGGCTGGCCTTGAACTCAGAAATCTGCCTGCTTCTGCCTCCCAAGCGCTGGGATTAAATGCCACCACTGCCCGAAAAGAAGAAAGTTCTTATGGCTGTCATCCTGGATCGGGGAAATTGAGAGTTTGGTGAGGGAAAACAGACAAGCCAGAGCACTGGTTTTAAGAACAAAAGGCAATCCTGGAAGAAGCTTGGTGACAGGAAGAATGGCTGTCTTCTCCTAACCAGTGTGCCTCAGATTCTTGGGAGAGCTGTTCATTTTAGACCAAGAAAAAGTGTTTCATCTTATCATTATCTCAAATGTGTGTGTGTGTGTGTGTGTGTGTGTGTGTATGCTTTTAACCATTAACTTAAAAATCACACTTTTAAAATTGATTTTTTACTACTACTTTCATCCACTGAATTTGTAGTATATATATAAAGATATATATATATTTGTATACATATATATGATAGAAAAAAATTTTAAATCAAAAAAAAGAAATAAAATGAAGGCCTATATATAAACTTACCATTCACTGATGATTACAGTTGACATTTTAGTCTATATACAGGTCTAATCTTTTTATCTTAAACACGTGCAAGTTTTAAAAACATCAAACCCGTATTTTACAGATAAAGACACACAACTGTTTTTCAATTAGAGAAATTTGTTTTTCTGCTGCTGCCTCTTGGTGCCTGACAGTGGCTCTGGAACTCGTGTGAGTCTCATGAGCTCCCACAAATGGAGGCCCCACCCTCCACCTCAGCAGTTTCTATAGGCAAACACTGCAAAATGCTGGGTACATAATGCATTTCTAGAGCTCTGCATAGGGTGAGAAGCGCGCCCTTTGTCTCCAAGGTCATAATGGCTCTGCTGACTTGAATTCCTTTCACTGAGCTCGTGAGGACAACTCGAAAATGCCAGAGAGAATGAGAGCCCCCTACCCCATGATCCCAAATGAAAAAGCGAGAGAACACAGAAATCCCCTTACACATTACCCCCAGGCCCCTTTTGTGTTGTTCTTGCCAACACAGCAACCATCCTGCCGTATATATACCAGCTGCCACTCCTGTCCCCATCACACTCAACACTGACCATTTGCTGTCAACCACAATGGGAAAGGTGAGCCAAGGAGGAACCCTTCGGGTCTGTTGAGTGACCCCTCTGTGTGGGGGATGCGCCTTCCAGTTGACCAT